CGTCGAGGCTTAGTGAGAGAGGAGGTTCATGTTGAGGCCTCTGACGTCTGAACAGTATTGATCCAGGGCTGTATCGTATGTGATATAGTTGTGACAGGTTGTGACAGGTTGAGGAGTTGAGAAGCCCCGAGGAGCTGAGAAGAGGAGATGGAGAAATGAAGGAGAAGAGAAGGTTGTTCGAGGGTACGGTAAAGAAACAAGTATTTGGGTATGTCGTGACGAGGAACAGGGGACAAGGGTGGGAAAAGATGACAGGCAAGGGGCTAACCTTGGAGCTAGCGAGAAGAAGGAAGAGAGAAGGAAAAAGGAAGGTCAGTTGCTCCGTAATAGTAACGGTAAACGAATGTGGGAAGGCTACAGTTTTAATTTTTAATTTTTTTTGTTGGCACCGGGCCGATGCTCAATCAAGAAAGGAAACAATAAAAATGATAATGATAAAAAGTAAGCGTCAGGCGCGGGGAGGGGGTCAAGGTAAGGATAGCAGCCGAACGCATGGAAAAGCTTGGAAGCTTGGATGGGGCGAGCGAGATGAGGACGGGCTCGTGGGTGGTTTGGCCCTTGGAAGTGACGTTGGTGGTCGGCGGTCGGCGTGTCGATCCAGGACCGAGGATCCAATTATTGTTAACGTTGTTGGTGTGCAGAGATGTTGTCAAGGACCAGTCAGGCTTGCATATTCAAGGTGAAGGAGATGGGGAGGCCAGGTAGATGGGACGGATGTGAGCCGAAGAAGAAGAGCCAGTGGGAAACGAGTTGCCCAGCGGGTTAAAAAGGAGGGTAGGACACATGGAAAGTGGCTCTGCGGGAAACGGAAGACGGACATTACAACATACAGGTGCCCCAAAAAGAAACAGAGCGCGACAAAACAGGGGCTCACGATAGTAGACGGGAAAACAACACCAGCCAGGGTCAATACAGGCCAGCACAGGCCAGCATTAGCACAAGCACTAGCACACAAACTGCAACGCGACTGACTTGTGGTGTGGAGTCAAAAGGGGGTTTGTCAAGTTGTTTTCTTTTCGAGGAGAGGCTGTGGAAAGGAAAAAAAAAAGAAAACAACAAAATAACGAGAGGCCCGAGGATAGTGATGACACTCGGTGGCGACAGAAACGTGAAGCAGAGGAGCAGAGGAGCAGCAGGGGACAAATACTAGGACAGACCATAGTGAGTGAGCTCAGTGAGGTCAGGTGCAGCAGTCGGAAGGCAAAGCAAAAGCAGGACAAGGACGGGCCGCACGGCACACTGCAGATCGAGAGGGGAAAGTCGGCGACGATCTTGGGACAGTGGTTGTGATGAACGTCACCAAATGACATTGTAGCGGTAAAGGCCTTTGAATCTGGGGACCGTGTTGCATTCCGTACAATATTACACTATGGAAATAAAACACCTGCTAGAGAGCAAAGAAGAAAAAAACGAAAGAGAAAACGGCAAAAAGATGACGAGAGGGGCGGGGGCGATGAGCGTCATGAGGCAAAGACCGTGACTGCCAGCATGACATCTGTATGCGTTAATGCGCCCACAATGTGTGTGATTTTTGGACGACTACATCTCCATTCTTTCCCATCTCTAATGGCACAGACAACCACTCGGATAGTGGCCGTACGATACTGGAAGGGTAGGGTTTGAAAGTGACGCGGACTGCATATTATTTAGGTCGTGGAGGCAGTGTGGAAGAAAGAAAAGAAGAAAAAAAAACGAAAAAGAAAAAAAAGCGGCAAAAGTGACTATTTCTAATAGCGCACCACACTCATGGAACATTCCCGCCAGTGGGTGGGAACTGTTTACACGCCATACTACGCTAGATCCAGTAAAAGCACGAATTGGGCCGTCAAATGGGGACTCGGATGCTACAGGGAGGGACAGGGGGTCAGATTAAAGAGCGGTGGAGGACATGGAAGATTCGGTGGAAACTGGGAAACCCAAACCAAGAATCGAAAAAATGAGGATGAAGGAAGTAGGGTGAAATTCAAAATCAACAGCGAAATGCATGCGAGCGTCTTTGCTGCGTGCCCCCACGGGAGCTCGCCAGAATCCGCAGATGGCAGAATAAACGCTGTGCGACGTTCGGAGTATAGACAGAATAAACACTCAATAATACCACTGTACAATAAATGGCATCATAGCTCCTTGACCTCTTTGGGCATCGCCGGATGACAAAAGTAGAGGGATCCGTCGTTTTGTGGCAGGAAGGGTCCGTCACAGTTGGGATATCAAAATACAGCATCGACATTGGCGGGATGGTTTTATTTCGTTCTAAAACGTTTGGTCACGTTGTCGTTTCAATTTCATGCTTTGTTGGCCATATTTCACTGTTGATTTATCATAGGTCGTAATATTATCTCGTCACTCATTCCCACCGTTTCTTCCCACACAATATTCACGGAAAAACAGTCCTTGACAGCCTCGCCGTCCTGTTGGACATGCGCCAGACATCGCACACTGATAGTTTCTGCCCGTCAATCCACCAATAGCCCTCACTAAACACGATTGCCGCCGTTATTTTTGCTTTTGGTGTTGTTCGGTTAGTTTTCTTCTTATTCTTGTACTCAGTAAATAATGCTCCGGGAATGACACTACCGCAGCACCTCACTGGCTCCCGGCTGGCTCACACGCTTTTTTACCGACCAATGATATTCGAACGCTGCGCGGGATACAAAATACCTGTCCAGAGACACCCAAGGCCCCATAAATAATAATTAATGGCAGTCATTACATCATGGCACGCAGAACGTGCGCCCGTTGCACTCATAGCTGTCGGGCAGGCAAAGGAACCCCTGTCGCTTGAAAGTGAGATCACTCACTGTCTTTACCATGTCATGCGCATTACATACTAGCAAAGGAAAATCAGTACAACTAGGGAACCAATTTTGAGGCTACGAAACCATCGAACTCGTCAGCGCTTCTCGTGTTATTAAAACCCTGGTGTCATTCGTTGGGAAAAGTCGACGAAAGAGCAGTACGGGCAAACCAAAATAATAAAAATAAAAAAAAAGTTAAAAGAAAGAAAGAAAGAAAGAAAGAAAGAAAGAAAGAAAGAAAAAAGTAAACAAAACAAGGTAAAGAAAACAAGGTGAAAAAAGAAGGACTAAAAAATCAAACTCCAAAGCCAAAAAGTACTCCGCGCGGGACTCGAACCCGCAGCCTCAAGATTAGAAGTCTTGCGCGCTACCATTGCGCCAGCGGAGCTATATAGTGTATCCAGGCCCTTTATACTGGTATATAAAGGACGTGCCTTTTAACAGCTTCCGCTCCATTGTATCAGACTTTTTTCATTGACTTGATCACAAAGAGTATAACTTCGTATGTTGTGACTTATTTATTTCTATTTCGGAGACCAGTTTTGGCACATGTATCTGCAAGTTCCCAATTTCGACAAACATGTCTCCTAAAATGCCCAGCGCCGTCGCATCGCAACTTTTTATTCTAAGGAAAACAAATTAGTCGTCCACAATCTTTAATTTGAAAAGGCTCCTAATATCACACAGTAAAAAAAGGGTCCACAAGCCCACTCTCGCTACTCCCAAGGATATGAGGATATGAGGCAGACTGGTTGCCGCCTTCTTACCATGTTGGTTGAGGCTTTCTCTTGTTTTACGGTACAAGGAGAGCGGAGCAAGGGCAAGAAATAAAAACAATTAATTAAACAATCCAATCGGGACTAAAGGTCTCACAAAAGAAACCAGAGGCACACAATAGGAAACTCGATATTGTCAAACGGAGGATGATAGAGCAACGCCGAGCTTTCCGTATTGCCTTCTTGTCCTTCCCCGTTTCCGTCATCAGTTTTGGCCTAGGTGCCCCAAAGAAAAGAAACGAAATAATGTGGCCTTGCTATGGCGACTTTCCCTCAATTCAGACTCGTTGCGCCGGCTTTCACAATCAAATAAGTTTAGGACGACGTCCTAGAAAGAAAAATATCAAGCCAAAAATAGAAATAGAAAATGAGACCAGCCCTCGAGCCGCGTCGTCATATCTCTACTTCCTCCTCTTCATCGTTACAATAAAGTATTTTTATGACGATAGTTCTCCGGATTTCATTTCATTTTCTGCAACCCCCTGCATATATTCCCGCTGAGTCTTGCTTCTGAGCTCTCAGCAGAACGCTAATGCAGCCTGTCGTTTAGCCTCTACATTTGTCTAAAGCGGCCTGGCCTTCATTTCCTGCAGTACCGGAGCCGCTGCAAGGTCGCCCAACAAAAGAAACCACTAGGTTTGTTTGTTAGCGTATTGTTTATGCGCATTCTAGTCATCTGTCCATGTGCCAGTTGCTCCATCGAATCCCACCAAAGCACAAAAATTATATCTCGGATTTCTTGGTGACAGAGTTGCAATCCCGCCTGACCGTTAAATCAACTGCAAGGCACTTTACCATTTGGCTTTCGCTTTGTGCCGTCCGTTTCGCGTAAATTGTACACTCGTTTGCGCTGTGAAGCGGGCTTGGGAGAGAGTTGTATTGACAGTTGTTTTGGTTCTGCTGTGGTATTCAAAAAAGAAGGGGGAAAAAAGCGGACGGACTCATATCCCTGAACCAAAACGGTCAATGTTGCGGCCCAAAGACACTTTCAAATCTCCTTATATTGCGATGACATAGGACAAGGCGGGTAATACGATGGTGCATTATGGCATTATGTCATTTCAACCCTGACCGTGGACCTTGTCGAAAAAAGAACAGAAACTTGATTGAGGTTTCGAATACGTATCAATTGCGAGCGTACATTAGAAACTGAACTGGATAACGTGTTGGTATACCAAAAGAACAAACCAACAACATCGACCCTTTGTCCGTGACAAACTCAATGAAAAGGTGAGGGGAAAAGGGTCGAGAGATAAGTCAATGATGACGAACACCAGAGAATAAGGTGGACAAAAGAAAATGAAGATGCAATCAAATAAAACCCATGCATTTGATATCAAGATGAAGAAAGCCAAAAATAATAAAATATAAGCGTCGGGGTATAGTAAAAGGTAAATGCAGCAAACACACCCTCAACATTATGTCGTCCTTACTGACCCTCTTCCTCGACCGCAAGCATTCGTTGAGCAATGTCTTGGCTTAGCTCGGCAATTGTCACGCCCTCGACTGTCTGCACGGTGGCACCCGTCTCCCGAGAAATCCATCCCAGTACGAAGATTGAGTCGAGGGAGTCAATGCCGTAGTTGCCCAGCGACTGCTGCGGATCAAAGTCGTCCTGAACCATGCCCTTCCGCCGGGCCACTGTGGCAATGAGAGCCGCACACACAGCTTGTGCAGCTTCTTCTGCCGTTGACGCCGTTCGAACGGCGGAACGTAGATTTTGTCCTGCTGCCTTGCGGGCTGCGGAGTTGAGTCCGTGGGGCGGCGCATCGACTTGGTTGAGGTATCGGAACAGTGCTGCTCGCGTCCAAAACGGGTCCGCCGGCTGCTTTTGGATCGTCAGTCCGCCTGTCCCGACTGCTGTTACAATCTGTGCGGGAACGCTGAGGCTAGCTTCGGACCCGGGCGGGGCCATGGCCCGGTCGAGGATGGACAGCGCGTCTTGAATACGTATGCCAATGAAGCCGGTGGCCTTCATGGCGTCGAGCAGGCTTTCGTTTTCAGCAACCATGCCAGCACCAAGCACGAGGCCGAGATCAATGGACACGCTGTGCATGCCCAGTGCACTACGGTGCCGGGCCAGTGCATCTTGGAAGCAATTTCCCGCAGAGTAATTGGCCTGGCCGCGATTTCCAATGATGCCGGACGAGCTGGACAGGAAAATGAGAAAGTCCATGTCTTTTGGCAGTAGTTCATGGAGGTTGTTCGATCCGACCACCTTTGGCTCAAAGGCCCTTTGCCAGCGGTCGTAGTCCATGCTAGCGAAAGCGGCATCCTGGTCTCTAGTTAGCGATAAATCAATGATGACCTGCAGTGGCGGAACTCGACTTACGTCAACAACGCCTGCGCACTGGATGGCGCCACGGATGGACGGCATGGCGGCCTGGACTTTTTTGATGGCCACGGCCAACTGCTCGCCGTTGCAAATGTCAGCCGTAAACGCCCGGGCGTAGATGCCGGCGGCATGCAATTTGGAGAGAAATGCTTGAGCCACCTCAGAATTCGCTCCAGATCTCGAAAAGAAAGCAATGTGCTTCGCACCACATCTCACGAGATGCTCTGCTATGCTTCTGCCAAGTCCGCCGAGCCCACCAACTAATAAGTATGTCGCAGAAGAAGACAACTCCGCCCTGAAGAATGATTGCACATGCGTGTTGACCAAGTTTGCACCTGCGTCGGCCTCTGTAAATAGTAGCCGGGATCCGAAAAAGGGGTTGGCGGATGCCTCGCTTAGTACTGCTTGGAGGTCGCACATGTTGTGTTCAATGACACCGCACAACGAGTCCAGTCCTGGGGCCAGCTGAAGCATCTTGTCAACGTCGGCAGCAAGCCGCCGTGACTCATCTGGCCGCCGCGATTCAAGGAGGTCGATGTCGACCGTTTCGAAACTGACATTATTATCAGCCAGAGGTGGGCTGGGAATGCCACATCCTTTCTGTGCAACCCGAATCACGCGACCGCCTGAAAAACAAACAGGATATCAGTACACGTAACCTCCTAACACGATACAGAAGGCAAAATGCCAAAGACAAAGACCACGGACTCTGAAGCCGCCGAAATATGACTTACATTCTGCCACACAGGCAAAGGCCTGTGTAACATGGCAAGATGTCGGATCAAAAACAACATCCACTCCAAAGCGGTGTGTAATGGCCAGAACACGTGTCTCAAACGTGTTACCTGTGCCCTCAACCTTCAAGATATGACCTGAGGGGATGTTGAAGTACTTCTCTGCCATGAACTTCTCCTCTTCCGTCAAGCATCCCACGAGCACGTTCCCCCCAAGTGCCAAGGCAATACGGATTGCGGCTTGACTGTATGCCGATGAAACACCGTAGACAAGTACAAAATCGCCTCTCATGATTCTGCGGCCGGTGTTCAGGGCATACATTGCCGTCGAAAACGCAGTAGGACAGCTTCCTCGCCAATCTCCGGGATTCTCAATGTGGCGTACCGTGCTGGAATCGACAATGATGTGGGTTTTGAGCGTGCCGCGCGTTCTTGCAACCACATAGCTTTCCTTTTGGAAACCAGACACCCCTGTTCCCGCTTCAACAACACGGCCGAAAACATCTGTCCCTACCATTTGTGGAAACGTGCCTCGAGTGGCTTGAATGACGTCTTCCGGTAGAAGGTTTGTGCCTATAACGGCGATCCGGACCTCGTTGGCAAGAAGTGTGCCATGTAAGACCCCGACGTCCTCGACAAATCGCGGTCCATCAGCTGCTTGCAGTGTGCACAAGTCGAGCTTCATTGCCCTGCCCTTCGCCAGAAGCATTGTTTGCTTGACCAGGGGAGATTTCTCAATTGTGGAATTCAGCACCTCGAGGGGCACGAGTCGGGGAATGAGCAATTTACCGTTAGAGTATGCAAACTCGACATCTTCATAAGACGATCTTGAGAGGGCTTTGCCGGCAGGAATTTTCAAAATGTTCTCGATAATATGGACGATGCTGTTGACAAGGGTTTCTTGGGCGCCAGAAACCCCATGCACGCCACTAAGACTGTAAAGGTCAGAGCCTATATCAAGAGTCACAATCTTTCTCTTACATTGCTCAGACCGCAAAGTGCGAGCCAGCCCCGAAATTGGCGAGCGGTTTGGGTTTTTGCAGTCGATCTGGCCGCCTTGCGAGAGCCAGAAAATGCCACAAGACTGGGTAAGAACGCTGTGCAAAACCTTGAAGAGTCGTGGCCCCATGGAGGTGATAAGGGGTGTGTCGACTTCAACAAGAGACAAGACGAAGCTATAGGGAACTTCTAAAATCGGGAGTGAATGGATATTGGCTTCGTGGACCTCAAACGCCAGTCGTTGTTCTAGGATCGAGCTCAGGATGCTTTTCAATTCGGTGACAAATGCAGACATGCTATCTGGAAGAAGGACAATCATTTTGTCGCGCTTTTCTGTCGGCGTCATATGAAGTTTTTCTCGACGAGGTAGTTTTTGGGCCGTCAGAAACGAACGTTCCTTTGCTAGTGAACTGCTGACTTGAAACCCAGCGGACTGTATTGCGAGTCTGAGTGCGCCGTATTCCGCATCTTCGATGGCACATCCTAAATTGGACAAAACGACGAGCCAGCCATTTTCATCAACACGTTGCAGAATTCTAGTCAGGCTGTTGACAGATGTCTGGTTATCTATCGAACAAACGACGAGGCCGTGCGTGTCATTCTCAGATTCGGCCTCTGCACAATGTATGCGTTCGAGCCCGGGGCCCATTTCTTTCAGCATTCTTATATGTTGCCATGTCTTCTTCGCGTTAACACCAGAGACGATACAGCGAGAGAATCGCGGAGTTTCGTATCCTGCTGCGAGGCTGCCAAGAAAGAATCTCGTAATGTTCACAGCATCGGCGACAGCGCCTAGGTGGCGGATGTCGCCATTGGGAAAATTCATGCCACCGTAAACCGAGTTCGGGCCGTGTAGCGCATGGTAAAGAATAGACTGCGAAGGATTTTGATGAGAGGTAAGATCGATGACTTCTTGGATGCTTATAGGAAGGTCGAATCCTAGTGCTGCGATGTTGCTAGCATCCTGTTTCCAGACGATCTCGGAACATAAGTTTCGGTGTGAAGGTAGAAACCCGCCATTGCCTGGCGCGGTCTCAGGGGCAACGGATTTGAACAACAGATCTTCGAGAATAACTGCTGGTGCGTGAAGTCCCTCGTCAAACATGGTGATATCTGCAATTGCGCCTCCTGATGGCGGTGTGCGAGCCGTGGTAAAGCCTCGAAAGCGCGAGCCTGCACCTTTTGGCAGCGCTTCCGAGACAAAGATCCGCCCGGCGGAGCAGGGAAGCATGGCACCTCTACAGTCGCCCAAAGGGATGACCGTTTGCAGCATGGTGTCCAGGGTTGAGGGATGAATGACGTGGTCGAACTCGTATTGGTAGGGCATCATGGATTTCGTATCGGGAATCTGAATGACCGCATGAACCGACGCATCGCCTTTATTGATTTCGACAAGATTGCGGAACTGTGGCCCATACGTCATGCCGATGACATCGAGAGTTTCGTAGAATTGCCGTGGGTTAAGGGGCGTATGGCAATACTTTTGGACATATCTGTAAGCCTGGCGGTGGGCGGCTGTTCCAACCCTTTGCTCCATCTCTGTTGCAGGAAACACACCTTTGTTGCAATACACAACAGAGAATCGACCTTTGCAATGTGTTGTCCAGGGTCCATCCGTAGGTTTAGACAATATCGAGAACGCGTAAGCGACAACAGGCCCATGGATGGGTTTTTCGTCCTCGTCGAGAAGATGTGCACTCAGCATGTGCTCGAGTCCTTGTGTTGACATTGGAATGAGCATTGGCTTTGCAATTTTGAAGCCGGTCACTTCATAGCCCAAGATCGCCCGACTGTGGTCTGCGACCTGCTTCGCGGCTTCAATCGCCATCGCAATCATTCCACCAGCCGGGTAGATGATGGATCTCTGAATGACATGATCCTTAAGCCAGGGGTTTTCTTGCACGCGGAAGAAGCCTCGCCAGCGAGGGTCTTGTGGTGTAGAGTTCTCCAGTGGTGCCCCAATGATATCCTCACGGCCATGACTTCGGAAGCGGTTTGCCTTGGACAGATGTGACTCATGCCAGTACTTTTTGGAATGATCCCATGGGTAAGAAGGGACGTCAACCAAATGGCGAGGTTTGCCTTCCGTTCTTCTACTATAAAATGTTAGTCACCTTATCCCAAAACGATGGAAATTCTATGATATCAGCAAGGTGGATGACAACGAACCTTGTGAGAGGCCAGTTGGTGTCAAAAGAAAACCCTTGTACCCAAAGGTGTCCCAGTGCTTCCAGTACTGTCAAAAACGCATCTCGGCTGCTATGAAGAAGAGACGCATAGCTAAACTGGACGGAGGCAGCTGCCGAACCTGTGCCCTGTAAGCTATTATGGATCTGATGTAGTGTGGACTCCCACACACGATGTGGGCTCACTTCGAGAAAACTGTGGGGACTTGCTGTTGCCATCAATGCTGAAACTGCTTGGTAGAACTGCACTGGTTGTGTCAGGTTTCTCACCCAATATTCGGTGTCCAATTCCGAGGGTGGGATCTGTCTTCCAAAAACAGACGAGAAGAAGGCTGTCGAGCGGGAAGATGACAGGGGATGCCCTAGGTCCTTCAAAGAGCTGCGATATATATCTTCAATGACTTGCATGTGACGAGAGTGGTAGGCTGTGGTCACGTTGACTTTTGCGGCTCGACATCCTCGACCTCGGAAAAAGTCGTAGAGATGTGAGATTTCATCAATGTCTCCGGAAAGCGTAACTGATGTTGGGCCGTTTATGCAAGCGACGTCGATGGAATTGACGTTTGCTTCAGCAAAGCCGCGACGGGCATCTTCTTCCGAAAGTGCCACCGCAAGCATCCCTCCTTGCAGTTGAGGCTTCAATTTTGAAATTTGGCAGACACTCTGACCGCGGAAGTACGCTATTTTCCAAGCATCTTCGCGGCTGATGGCGCCAGCGGCGTACGCAGCTGCAATTTCTCCCGAAGAATGTCCAATGACAGATGTTGGCACAATGCCAGCAGAGAGAAGAAGGTCAACAAGGGCTATCTGGATGGCTGTGGTGGCTGGCTGAGAAATTTGTGGATCTGAAATTTGAGAGAGTTCTTTGCTGCGATGAAGTTCAACCCAAAGGCAAAAGGGGCTTTCAAGGACATCGCTCATGTACCAACTGGCCGTGGAAATGCTCGAGTAGAACGCCTGGTACTGGAGAAGCTCCCGTCCCATGGCATACCACTGTGCCCCCTGTCCACAGAAGACGAAAGCGAGTTCTTTTGGTGTGCAACGCGCAGCTTGTATTGGCTTTGGCAAGCATTTGGTCTCAAGCTTTTGGTACAGCTCTGTGGCGGTCGAAGCAACAATAAAAGTGCGCCAGCTCAGACGGGACCGGCGCGATAGGAGGGTATAGGCATAGTTGGCAGCAAACCCATCGGCGGAGGTGTTTTTGGCAACATACTTGGCCTGAGATTCGATTACTCGGGTGAGCCCTGCCTCGTCGTGACCGGAAAAGACAAAAAGGTGTCGACGGCGACATTGCTCATCCGTTTTGGTAAGTTGGCTCTCCATCTCATCTCCGGGAAAGAGAAATGTATTATGATGTCCACCGGTAATCCTGCGCTCAGAGAGAAAGTGATGCGCGTCATCAAGGACAACGTGAGCATTCGTTCCACCAAAACCAAACGAGTTGACGCTGGCACGACGAAGACCAGGAACCGGCCACGGAGTAAGGCCCATAGCAACCTAGCCAGGTCAGTGAAAATTAGTGAGAAAGGGGAATTTGATAAATAATAAAGAGCATGTACCTTCAATTTCATCCGATCAAAGTCAATGTTTGGATTGGGAGAATCGAAATTGAGATGCTTGGGGATGAACCCGCGCTCGACGACAAGGATACCTTTGATCAGGCCAGCGACACCCGCACTTCCTTCAAGGTGGCCAATGTTTGTCTTGACAGAGCCAATATAAAGCGGATTCTCTAAAGTGCGGTGCTTGCAGAACAACTCAGTCGCCGCCTGTGTCTCTTTTACATCGCCGACCTGGGTGCCGGTTCCGTGGCACTCCATGTACGCTGTCCGGGTGATATCAAGCCCAGAAGTGCGGTAGATGTCGCTCATATTCTGAACTTGGCGGGCTTGACTCGGGAGAGTAATACCTGGAGGTGGAATTAGCCTCTGCAACAAAACTTGAGACTGGTGCATGCCGTGCTACCGCGAAGCAAAAACGAACCTTGTGTGTGGCCATCTTGATTGCTGGCGGTTGCACGTATCACTGCCCGGATTGTATCGTTTGCGGCAATGGCATCTTGGAGGCGCTTCAGGATAAGAACACCTGTTCCTTCTCCCCGCCCATAGCCGTTGGCTCGTTTGTCAAAGGTATAACAACGTCCGTCAGAGCCAAGGATGTTGAGATTTGCCATTGGCACAAGAGTGTTTGGCGAGAAGATAAGCCCAACACCAGCAGCAATGCACTGTGATGTCAGCATAAGACGAGCCAAAACAAAAGAAAAGAAAAGAAAACAAACCCAAAACAAGGGGGCAGAAGTCGTTACTGTCACTGACCACACTAGACTCGCCCGATAGTAAGCTTTTGCACGCTTGGTGCACTGCAATCATGCTTGCAGAGCAGCCGGTGTCAATGGTTTGGCTTGTACCGGCAAAATCAAAAGCGTGCGAGATTCGGTTGGCCAAAATGGCAATGCCATTCCCTGTTGCAGAATACGGTGGTGTTGTGTCAGGATCGCGCATGCATGGTTGCTCGTAATCTAATTTATTGTGCATGTTAGTACGTTGTCGAACTGCTCGAGACTCTCATGTAGGAGAACTCACCTCGTACAAAAGAGCCGCAAAAGACGCTTGTGGCTGTGTTGGACAACGAAGCCACAGGAATTCCAGCTGCGTGTTGCGGGTGTTAGTAGCCTTGAAATGAGAAATGGCGTGAATGGGTTATCATGCAATCAACGTACCGCTGTCAAGAGCTTCATAAACAACTTCCAGTAGCATTCTTTGCTGGGGATCCATGGACACAGCTTCGGCTGTAGATATCGAGAAAAACTATGTGCACACGGGTTAGTACATGAAAAGATGGGGCAGGTCTCATCTCTGAAAACCGAAAAAAATGCCATTCGATTTATGCATGGGCCGTGACTTACAGGCGCATCAAAGGCTGCTATGTCGCCTTTGATGAAATGAGCGCCGCGGATATGGAACTAAGGCCAGGTCTGTTAGGTCCCTGCAAACGTAGAGATTAAACTGTACGTCGCAAAAGGCGAAATAATACAAAGAGAGACGAGAATGTTGAAAACAACTCACACTGCCTGGCCGGTTGGGATCGGGATGGTACCAGCCTTTGGCATTGAACCGGTCGCTCGGAATCTCGGACCACGCATCTTTGCCTTCTCGGATCATCTCCCAGAAATTCTCGACATTGTCGGCATCGCCAGGAAACCGACACGACATGCCAACAACAGCAATGACGTCGTCAATGTTGCCGTCTGGAAGTGCATCCAAGGCGTCCATGGCTGCGTGGAATATATGCCGTCCTGGCCGTTGGGTGAAGTTCCGTAAAGTGGGATCTCGTACAAATGCGCCAGTCGATTGCAAAACAAAGAGCGCCGAAAAAAAAAGACCAAGCAATATGTAAAGCAGATCTCGCTCGTCAACTGTCAGGAAATTTAAACTGAAAAGACACAGAATGGGGGGGAGTGAATGTATGCGGGTGGCGGCAGTGCAACAGCAAAGCAATATATAATCTGTCAAAATTCAGACCGTGGTGGAAAGCTAAATGGCAAGGACAAAATAGGATCGGTGATGCATAGATCTGCAGAAGAACAAAGAAAGTAGGAAGAAAAGTGATCTGTAAAAGGGCAGATGCTAAGGAATGGAAATCGTGACTTTAAAGTAGGGAAAGGGGCAAACGGAGGTTGTTGACTAGGAGCCAGAAATGGAAGGAGCGGCTAGAGCTGGTGTAAAGAGGTTCAAAAGAGGAAGGAACGGCCCTTTGCGCCTGTCTTTAGGGATATAAAGACATAAATTTAGAAACAGAACGATCCTAGGAAGGAGCACTCGTCATTCACTTTCTTTGCTGCGTTTGCACGGTGCTGTTGCTCTTTCTGTTTTTGGTGCGTGACGCGTGGCTGCGTCTTTTTGTGTTATATTGGCTGCAACGTCTCTGAGCAATGAACAAACACTCGGGGGAAGAACAGAAGAAATGCCCGCCTCTCCTTTGTTTCCTTGGCTTTGTTTCTGCGTCGATGAGCAATAGCAGTTTTATGTTGATTGGTGACTTATACGATGTGTTCAATTCACCAATGGTGTAGAAGGGGGGAAGGGGAGGATGGAAGGGGCAATAAAAGAAGAAGAAAAACGAAACCCACTTCGTGCACCTAGAGGTCACAAGAGAAGAGCGAACCGGGATCACTTTTCTATCAAGTGGCAAAAGCTTCTCGTCGCCGAGCTGTCTCTCAAGGGGGAAGTGGCCAGGCCGAGATAGTTCGTTGGGTGGCCTGGGCCCGATCTGGTCCGTTTTTGGCCCTCACCGCTCCGTCATTCACGCTGATCCTGGTTCAAAGGAGGATGACGAAAGTATCACAGGGGTTGGATCTAGTTTTCTGATTTGGGGCTCCAAGGTCCTGGCCGTCTTCAAGTGTTGTTTGTTTCCCTTTGTTTTGCCACCGTCGTTGACGAGTCCGTTCCCGCCTATCCGGATTTTAGAGAACACATCAACCAGTCATGAAAAGTAGGATGGGTATCGACGCTCGTCATGCCATCACTCTCAAAGGTTCCTTTCCCTGTCTCCTATCTTCATTCCTTCTCCTCCCGTGTCTATTTCTTGTCTTTTCTTTATTTCGAGAAACGATAGGTGAGGGCACACGTAGTCTCCAGCCGAATTGGACACACGCCGGTTGCACAGTGTCCCTCGCCGACGCCGTCGATGGCTCAAAATGGAAACGCAGAGTGGCAGAAACTCTCTCCTTGGCATAGGAGCAGGCGGGAAGAGATTCTACGAGCTGCTCGACAGGCCGAAGGGGGGGGTGGAGAGGGAGTGTGTGGATACTTGAGGGAGGACACACATACTACGCTCGAAAGATGTGTGACGTGGATGCAATCATGAGAAATTTCCGAGAACAGAAAATCAGGAAAAACAAAATTTGCAAGAATACAAAAAACCAGAAGAACATATAGCGGTGGCGGAGACGAGCCGTCTTGACTATCTGCCAGATCTAGTTCGTAAGCAGGCGACGAAAAAACGAGCTTCGCCTTCCCCGGAGGAAGAATAAGAGACAGGTCAAAAGTAGATCGAAAGGCAAAACAAGACATCAAGACCATGAAACAACGAGACGGGCACACAGTAGCCAAGAACTCCATCCACGCTGAAAACAGGTTTCAAGCTGGAGGAAAGATAGAAAGAGACTGAGGTCATTCTAAGAAAGTGTTGAGTACACTACTTACATCGTCCTCACTTGACCCGTACACAAGGGCATCTGAGCACTCTTTTTTCGCGCACTCACGCTCTCCCACCTCGGTATCTTTCTTCAAGCGGTTTCATATTGCTCGAATGTCTTGTATAGCTTCCTCTGGCTAGTGTTGAATCGAGCCTGGGCATTTGAATGAGAACGAAATGGGCGAGTGAGAAGATAACCAGAAAGGTAAAGTGAGCCTTCGTCCCATTCCTTACTCAGGCATTACCGCAATGGCCATTCCTGCATAAACCAGGTTAGGAACATGGCATTCTGTTTGTATGATATGGTGATATGTCAGAGCAGATGGCCTCTAGAGGGCGCGCCGAGAGTGAGAAACGCTAAAGTTGGGCGAGATCCCGTGCTGACGGCCGCCGCTGCCATGGAATCATCTTGGACAGGAATCATTTCTGTCTCTCTTTTGCTCATGTGAGGTCAATTGCTTCGTGTTGTGGATTCAGAACGCGCGGGGACTTGGCAGGCAGTGAAGCATGGCATGATTCCAAGTCCCCGTCTTTTGACAAGAGGGCGTCAGAGTGAATACCCGTCTGACATGCTTCCTTGCGGCACTCTGGGGTGGCCCTGTCAGGCTGTGCTTATGCCTTTCACTGGACACTGTAATACTGTGTCAAATAACCATAGCTCTTAGTGTCTTCCATCCATATAAGTAGGACTAGGGTGACGACGGAAGTAAATCAAAGGCGAAGAATAAATAAATAAATAATATAAGTAAAATATGACCTTCACGGGATTCATAACAGATTCTTTTTACCCCCATCGCGGCTCGAAGACGGGAAGGATGGAAAGAGGACAAGACGACAAGAAGTGCACTAGTACGGCATACAATTATGAGGTTTTGCACTCGTCTGACTGCTTTTCGCTGTGGTTACAGCGGCATCTTGTTCTTGTACCACTAGCTATCCCAGTGGCATCAAAAGAGGGAGAAAAGGGCAGTTCAGACTGATTCGATGAGTTTCCTGCACATCTGTTTTCGTCCAGATCAAGATGGGGCTTTTCCGATTTGGACAGTCATAACTAGAAGTGGATAGTTGGACGACCATCAACACTACTCATGTTGTGCCTCCCATCTTCTTTCCACGGCCGGCAGAATTGCAGCTTCCATGGCCCAGCCATACCACCGAGGTGCAAACGTCAAAGCGTTGCAAGTATCGAAAAACCGCGGCGCTTCAAGAATAAACACCAAATGTTGTAGATATACCCTCGCACTAGCGATTTTATACACGAACACAGTCACAACCAGGTGAACATGGCCTCGTAGTTTCTATTCGTTATACCGATGTTTTCTGGTCTTTTCTGTTGAGCAACTATGCTCTTCCGTGCTGCATTCACCGCTCCATCAAGGGTGGCCATGGAGACCGAAAGGCGCCACAATACACATCGCACGAGAGGCAACTGCCATTAAGTTCGCTGTTTTGTGCTTGTGCTTGTGCTTGTGCTCGAATACGCCCGTAACGCTTCACATCCACAACGGAAAAGGGAGGGGGGAGAGATCGCCGTTTCACACTGGACTGGAGAGTGCAGGATCTGGCAAAACCAAATGGCAAACAACCCGATGACTGCGAAATACGTTTGAGCCAGAAGGCAAAACACGACGAAGACCTCTAGGGACTGTAACCTAGCAACAAAGCCACACACACGTGGGCCATCGACCATATTGATTTCGGAGGGAGGCACAAATGGACGAGACAATGTTAGCAAGTGCGTAAATAGTTTTATTAAAATCAAGCGGCGACCAGAAGAGACACAACAGAGCTAGTTGTGGGTGCAGTCCAAGCACCCACCATCTGCATCATCTCACCATTAAGACAAACAATGTAAGTCGTCGGGCATTTCGCAGAATACCGTGTCGACTTTGTGGCTTCATCGCGGCCAAATAGGAAAAGCTGCCGGCTGCATGCTTTTGGAGCGTGGTCGTGGACAAAAAGCGGGATTCTAGCAATCGGGACTAATTGGTCTTATCCTCTCCATCTTCGTTGGTGAGCGGGTTTTTTGGTATGTGAGGCGATTGTAGGTCTGATGGGAGCCCGAGAGACAAGACAAATACAAAAAGCTACGAGCAGATTTCAGAAGAAAGAGGGATGTGTTGTTTCGAATAGGGGAGATGACTAATAAAATGAGCGGGGTGATCAAAAACGGCAGCGACGCCCTTGTCAACAGCGCCTTCCTAGAGATCGCCATGTGGCATTCATGGAAAGCGCGGCCGGCGAGCAAGGGACATGGCATCTGCCTTGGGGTCTTGTCGATGGAGGCTTTTGCCAACTTGTCAAAACATAAACAGAACAAGAATTTGTCATAACCAACAACGCAGTGCATTTCCAATGTTTGGCTCAGGTCATACTGCATGGGCATTGGCTTGCAAGTTGACTCAAGACTTTGGTTTCCTGTTCGTCCTCCTACCCAGTGTTCCGTTTCTACCTTAACTGTTTTCTTCCCCATCTCATACTCTGCCACGCCGCCTAATTTTCAATCAGGATGGACGACCCAAGGCACATACACCGCGCCTAAGGCGACTCAGCATCGGCGAGTGTTCTGCAGGACGTATCTGTCGCGGAGTGTCTGCCGCCACACGTCGCCGCGCCGACTGGCCATTGTCTGATCACTTCAACGATACCGTACGGTCTTGGCCATCCCGGTTTAGAGCGTCCCGACACACGACAAAACGAAAGGGAAGAATAATGCATGCCATCCTGCATACCGAAATAGATGACTGTGAAAGTCCAAAGTTCTGCTGTCGAAATGATTGCGAGATCACGGTCGATATGGACCTCTCTATAGTGTCAACATTGACGAAATACTCCGAAACCTCCAAGAGTTCTGAAACGATATATTTCACACTTACGCTTTCTTTCCTCACTGCGACAGCCACCGCCCCTTTCCATGTGCATGTGTGGGCTGAAGGCCCTGGACTTTACCAAGTTCTTTTCGAGAGGGACGTCGTACTGTTGCAGACAGAGTGAAACGGCTGCACTCTTACCACTACCTCCATCGATGCTCTGGTGCCTCAAACTTTGGAGGGCAAGGTCATATCTTGTGCTTGGCCAGACGCGTGCGAGTTGGGTGTATGGGCGTGCATGTACTTCCAAAATTCGGAGACAGGCGAAGGTGTGTGTTTTCTTTGCTTTCTAGAGGGATGAAATTCGAAAAAATGTACGACGTCCGAGCGGAAGGTGAGGATATTCTTGTTCAGCCGTGTCGAATAGCACATGCCGGACTTCTACGAATCAACGAGACCAAACAAGTGTGATGTGAGCCTTTCGCGGCAACCGAAACAACCCAAAACGAGGACAACGTGAAAGAAATTCCTGGAAAAGAGCGAGACCGGCAATTTTTGAGGAAGAGGAAATAAAACAAGTCTCTTTGATGCCTAGTGGCGTACGGGGAGCTTAACGGCCCACAGAGACATCGGCAAAGACATGTTGGCTCCTTTCGTCTCTGTCTGGGCTTCATCTTTGCTGCTTCCGAGCCACCGCCTGTCTCGCACGGAGCGTTGGAAATATCGGTGTCTTTGGTCTTGTCGGTTTTTGTCCTGTGGTCCTGTCGTCCAACAGGATATCGCAGAGGGGCGGATATCAACGGCAGCAGCAACTGAGCTCTCCGGTCCTACGTCGATTTGGAACGCGGCGGCCCTAAAGCGTCGCACAAGAACCTCCAGAAACAATACAAAACGCTGAGACACGATGAAATTGCTGTTTTGGGCGTCCCTTGCTTTTCTCTCTCTCTTTTCGCTGACTCTCACTGTCCTATCAGCGCGGTGCAACAGTCTTCGAAAGCGACAAGTATGTGCGAAGGTCCCTATCCGTTCACTCCCTGGGTTAGTGCCAGTGTCTTCTTGAGCTTTGTCTTATTTCCGCCTTTTCTATCCCTTATCAGTGCATCAACCTCGTCTTCTTTTTTGTGCCCGATCGGGTGAGTTGGCCAAAGTCAGCTCGACAACAAGTCAAATCAACGGCAGTCATCATACACACCTTGCATTTCTGACAGGCCAGGAATTTATCTTGGCTGAGAGTCCAATTTCAAACTGGCATTGACCATTGTGCACGCAATTACCGTATGCATCGTGGATGGTACGTCGTGCAGCTGCTGTCTGCTGTGCCACGAGGCGACCTATTGTTGACTACACAAAGGACCAGCCAAACCACTCTCGCCAACTTTCTGCCTAACCACGCTGAATTCAACCTCTCTCTTTTCTCAATCACCGGTCCGTTCTATTGTTATTACTCTCTGTATCCCTGTGTCTCTGTCTGCCGTTTTCACCTGCATTTCGTACATATCCAAGGCCACAACTCACAAATGCACACCGCAACACCAACCCTCGGCAGTGGTGAGAGACTCAAAGACCCGCGTCGAGTGATCCAATCATTAACATCTCTCATTCTAGGACAAGTATGATCCAGAAAGCTATTCTTGTCACTCGGAGAGCCGACACTGTTCGGCGTTCGATCCTTCCCGTGGCCGATCTCGCCTCTTTGAGAGTCCTCTTCTCTCGCAACGCGTCCGCCTTCGCCAATATTCCCCCAGTCTGTTGCACACAGCACAACACCCGTCAAATACCGGGCTCCTTTGTCCTTTGTGACACGCCAAAATACTTCTGCGTTCCACACAAATCACATCGAGCTCGCCACTCAAGAGAGACTTGGATGAGAGGCTAGGCTTCACAGTACAAAGATTTTCTAGTATATGAGACTGGCATATCCTGTCCAGGGTCACGAGTCTCCAGGGACAGGGTTTGTCGATAGCCGAGAAACCCATCGAACGATTCCGCTCAGATGCCTCCTTACCACTCTAGAAATCAAGGATATTTCATCTATGGCCATTGTGTCAGCTTTATCGTCACACGAATCCTGACCGTCCACCCTGGCCGGTAAATTGTTACGCGGCGACTCACTCATCCAAACAGCAACCGTACAGCTGACGGATTTTGTGTTGGCTCATTCAACACAGTTGATGCTCCATCCATACGACTGACCAGGGCCATCCCGTTCTGGTTTTATTTCACGCACGCAACTGGAGAGCAACGAAGCACAAGACGGCTTGGCGTCGTACAGCCAGAATCTACTTTGGGCGCGAGGTAGCCGAATTAGACGGACTGGTTCCCTGTATCATGGCCCTTGATGGTGTTCCTATGTGGCATCTGGTTGCGTCTTCCTTTTGGCTTTACTATTCTGTATTCGGCGTCTTTGCTTGTGGTGCTCTCTTAGACCAGATGGGCATCATTGGTGGAGCTTTGCCTCGTGTGCAACGCGGAGCTATCCCACTGCCCTTACCGGCTCACCGCGTCTTTGGATCACATTTTTTTCACGACCTTCTCGACGTGAAGTGTTTTGGTAACGCCGCTCTTGGCCGTTCGCCAGACGAGATAAGTTAATCCGTCTCGGGAGTTGTTCCAGAAGCCTGTCGAGACGTGATGGTCTCTGTCTTGTATTTTCCCACTGCCTTCCTTTAACTGTTCTGTTAGAATTTTCTTCTTACGCTTCTTACGCTTCTTACGCTTCTTCCCAACCTATTACTTGCCTTCCATTGCACAGGACCATAGACCCAACACAGGAAGCTTAGACATGCAGATGCGGAGACCGTCTGTACCTGGCCAACACCACGCGAAAAACCAAGACACCAGGAACCGGACCAGAATCGCTACGTGAAGCGACCGTGGCAAAACGAGCACGAAGAAACTGTCTAGATGGGTCACAGCGACAGGATGAGGAATGCAGCGAATGTCCTTCGCTTTCTCACCCTACTCTGCTCCGCGCCCGCATTCATTCGTTCCTTCGCACGTCACATCGCCGCTTATTGGTTTTTGGATCCCAATTTGACTGACAGTCTTACCAGTCTGTCACATTTCTTTTCCTATCCTATCGCAGCTTCCATTATATTCTCGCCAACCCTAGTCTCGCCAATAGAGTGGCCTCACTCCGTGCACTTTGTTTTACCCCGAGTACACTCGTTTCCGAGCGTTGCCTTCGATGCTATGTATTCCTCGCCTCAGGCACCTACACTTTCTATCTCTTCCTCTGCTTGCTTCACTTTTAAACGCTTTTGCGGTGGTGCATTTGGCGCATTTCCAATATCCATATCCGTCATTAGTCTACCCCTCGCTTTTTTTCTCTCATTTTTTGTTGGTGTCCCTATTTGCATAGTACTCCTCTCTGCCTCGAGATATATATGGCTCTGCCAAGACCTCCAGACCCCTCTCATATCCTGTGCACCCATAGACTGTCAACGCTTGTTGTTCTTTGTTGGCGTTATTGCAAGCCACAACTTTCTCGCTTGTCTCGCTTCCTTGCGTTCTTGCTCTTTCTTTCTCTTAAATCCCAACGCCCTCAAATTTCTCTCTTCTATTCATCACAACTCGTAGCTGTCTTCACATTGCGTCTCAACATCTCCATTGCTTTCGCCAACCCCACCGCTCGATGCTCGGCCTCCATCTTCCCCTAAGCGGCTCACTTTGCTCTTACATTGAACACACTCTTTCAGCGACCTAATTCCTGTTCTTAGCTTACCAGTCGGCATTCAAAGAGTCAAACCAACCCCTTGGAATACACGGTTTTCATATTCCTCTCACGTTCATGCTATTGCGGCATCATGATCGATCTATCGCCCCTCGCTGCACGGCCGCCGTTGCCACCTCCACCCCGGCCTCCCGTACCTCCAAAGCCTACTTCCCAATCATATGCTTCACCCCAGCAGCAACAACGGAAGCATCAACAGCGGCTGCAACAACAGCAGCGACCCTCAGACGACCACACCGAACCTTTTTGTCGGCTCAATTTTGACTCAGAGCTGTATGGGGATGCATTTCCTCGAACGCTCCACAACTTGGTCGAACTTCGGGAAGAAGAGTCCCGCGCGGCACGGGCACGGGCCGCGGCAAGGGTCGCTGCAATGGCAAACTCGATAGCGACTGTGCCAAGGCGTGGCCGAAGACTGCGGCGAAACCTGCTCATGGCTTGGTGAGTTTTGCCTACCACGGCTGCTTCATCAATAATGTTGTAGTAGCTGACGACGGCCTCTCTTAACAACAGTATTTTACTCGGCTTCTTTTTCTCGCTGCTCGATACGACCATCATCTCAACATCCCTCTTGGCGACATCGGAGGATCTGAATGGCTTTCGGGACTCCTCGTGGGTGGTGATAGGATATTTATTAACATACATGGGTGTGTATGATGTTAAAAAGAGCGGCTGACCAAGATCTGCTAATTAACACACTCTTAGGCTTCTCTATTTTCTTCGCCAAGCTCAGCGACATCTACGGCCGGCGCAACATTCTCATTTCCTCATGGATCATCTTCGTGATCAGCTCTGTTGCATGCGGTTGCTCCTATGATATGACACAGCTGTGAGTTGTACTTGACTGCTCGACTACCAGCCACCGCTGGATAATGCCCAAAACTAACACGCCCTTTGCAGTATCGTCTGTCGCTCGTTCCAAGGCATTGGAGGCGCCGGTCTCTACAGCCTCACCACTATCAGTCTTCCCGAAATTGGCCCTGCACACAAGCCTGATTTTATCGGAAAGATTATTGGTATCACGCTCTCGCTGTCTTTTGTGCTTGGCCCCGTCCTTGGTGGCTTCATTCCCCAGGTCTCCAGCTGGCGGGTCATTTACTGGCTTAAGTAGGTGGTAGGATGCACTGCGCTTTGCTATGCTGTATACCGATACTAACTCGACTCCTCTTTCCAGCGCCCCTTTCGCCGTTGTCGCCATAACGGGTATTGTTTTCTTATACCCAGTCGAGCCGGCGCGATGCCACGGCACAAATCGAACCATGCGAAGAGTCGACATGATCGGCAGTCTTCTGCTATTGGCCAGTTGTGTGCTGCTCGTGATCGCCATGCAGGAGGCCGGATCGCTGATCGTTCCCTGGAATAGCCTGTTGGTTCTCACCAGCTTGACATCTGCGGCCATCTGTTTTGCGCTCTTCATGGGCTGGGAGTCCTTACTCTCCTCAGGCCGCTACTGGGAAATGGAGCCAATTTTCCCTTTGCGCTTGTTGAAGAATCGTGTCTACCTCAGCTGCCTAATGGACAAGTTTCTGGTGGGCTACGTGTATCTTTGCCTCGTCATTACCGTTCCTCAACGCTTCCAGATTGTCAACGGCGAAAGCGTATTCAAGACTGGCCTGCATCTTTTGCCCATGCTCGGCGGGACAGCGTTCGGCTGCCTGATCACTGGTCCTCTCAACGCGAAAAAGAACCGTACCTCACCGGTGGTTGTGGTGTCGTGCGTCTTGATGCTCATTAGTGTCAGCCTGCTTGCCACGGTCAACTCGACAGGTTACAAATCGGGACCCTTGTACGCTTATTTGGCCGTGTTTGGCATCGGCTTTGGACTCTTCATGTCGGCGGGCACTATGCTGTCCACGGCGCAAGCACAGTTGGACGACCATGCAGCCGCCCAAGGCGCCATTTCGCAGCTTCGAATCCTTGGCGGTGTCATCGGCTTGACGACATTCACCATCATTTTCAACACCAGGGTACAATCGGCCAACGTTCTCGAGACGCTCACGCCCATGCAAATGGACGTTCTGCGCCGGTCGCCGACCGCGCTCGTCGAAATCTGGCCAGACTTGAAGCAGCTGATTGCAGGCACCTACAGCGCTGCCTTCCACGACATGACATCCATCCTGGCAGGAATTGCGGCTCTTGCCTTGTTCGTCAGCCTCGGCACGCTCGAAAAGAACCCGCCACCGATTCATCGCAATTTCAACAAAGAAAAGGAGTTTTTAACGGGCCGGGGCTCTGACGATATTGAGCTCGACGATGCCGCCAGTGATCGGTCGCTTGTTGAGTATCGTACGCCCATTGGAACGGACCCGGTGCCAACGTTCTATCCACCACCGCGAAGCCACTTTCCATATCGCGTTTCACAACGTCCAACACAAACAAGACGATGGGACTGAAGACCTTCGTTCGGGCACACGTTTCGACTCTATATTCCCACGTTTTTACTAAGATTTATGCTCTTTTATGCCGTTGTCGTTGTCGTTGTCGTTGTCGCTTTGTTTATACACAATTCTTTTCGGATTCCTTGCTTAAGGGCATTTGTTTTAAGGAAAAGCCTTATATATTTCTCTACATTCACCCACTGCTGCATATTGGGCGTTAGGGGTATCTATCGATTGCTATCTGGGCTTCTTCGGCTTTTGATTTAATACGGGCATGTTTCTGAATCAGGGCCAGGTTTAAAATTAGGATCGGGCACGGCGAAAGTGAAAAAGACAAAAACAAGCCACCTCAAACAAATTCAATACATTTATTTCTTGATTCGAGAAGTTAGCTACCATCACCAGGAACTGTCTGTGACAAGGTAAGACCTGTTTTCCTTTGACGTTGTACAGGACTCGGTAGACATTACCGCTTTGGTGGCTAGACTAAGGCCGTGAGGGGACGAGGGTCGAAGCCGAAGACCTTGCACTACTGCACGGAGTACAATAAATCTCTCAAGAAAAGGGTATAAGAGGGTTGATAAAACGGCAAAAAAAAGTGTTGTCCGTTTTAATTTGCCGTAGCATAACTTCAGCGTAAAACGAGAGTCATTACAACCGGAGTCGAATTCTGTGCAATCCCCAGAAGCGACGGTGCGGAAGGCAATCCTTTAAGGAAGACTCGGCGTAAAATAAGTTAATAAACAGATTTGTTCGTTAATAGCTAAAACCAAGTCAGCAGTACCATCATGCACGTCATGACAGGCGAGTGCGATCGTTTGGTTCCCCAAGCTCTTTTCTACGCGCACCATTCGGCTGTAGGCAGGTCTGGCAGGACCACACTTGCCGAGCACATTTGATACGACTGTCTCTGTTAGGATCTGAACGTGTGAGTTTCTATAGCAGCAGTTTATAAACTTTACATATCAGACAAAAGCAGGTCAAAGAAATACAATAAATGTAGGGTATATATATGATTTTCGGCCGTCGCGGCTCTGCGGCATCGGTGCAACACCGGCTTAGAAGCACCATCGTCCATGCCATGCAGTCATCCTCTTCATGAATTCTCCAGAGCCAGCGTCTCTACAACCCTACTCGAGCTTCGAAAGTGCGGCCTCCAGCGTCTGACCTGTCAGCCGCTCGTACACGTCCGTATACCGCTTCGACGTCTGCTCGACAATCTCGGGCGGCATTGTCACGCCCTCTTTGCCCTTGAGGCCCTCCTTCACCAGCCAGTTGCGCAGAAACTGCTTGTCCAGCGAGTCCTGCTCGCGGCCGGCCTCGTACTGGTCGGCGACCCAGAAGCGCGACGAATCGGGCGTCAACACCTCGTCGGCCAGCACGACCTCGCCCGTCGCCTCGTCGAGGCCAAACTCAAACTTGGTGTCGGCAATGATGACGCCGCGCTTCAGGGCATGCTCTGCCGCCGCCGTGTACACGGCCAATGCCAACTCCTCGATGCGGGCGGCGTGGGCCGGGTTGCCGATGAGCTCGGCGGCCTGGGCGCGCGAAATGTTCTCGTCGTGGGCGCCCAGCTCCGCCTTGGTGGACGGTGTGTAGACGGGGGTCGGCAGCTTCTGGCAGCGGACCATGCCCTTGGGGAAGCGGACGGCGTCGGAGCCGCTGTCGGCGACGCCAACGGGCTCGCCGTGGACCGTGCCCTTGGTGCTGTACTCGGCAAACGCCGAGCCGGCCAGGTAGCCGCGGACAATGGCCTCGACGGGAAACATGCGCAGGCGGCGGACACGCATGACACGGCCGCGCAGGATGGCACGCTCGGCATCAGAAATCTTGGCGGTAGGACCGGGGGCCAGGGAGAGCAAGTGCGTGGCGAGAGGCGTGGTCTGGCCGGCCAGAACGCCGGGCTTGGTCAGGACGCTGAACCAGTACGCAGTCAGCTGGGTAAGCACGTTGGCCTTGTTGGGGATGCCGTTTGCGAGGACGACATCGTAGGCGGAAATGCGGTCGGTGGCGACGAAGAGCAGCGACGACTGGTCATCCTCGTCGACGAACATCTCACGGACCTTGCCCGTGGCGATCTTGGTCAGACCGGGAAGGTCAACAGTGGTGACAGCGGCCATGATAGCGGAGTGGGGAGAACGTTGTGAGGAGATAAGCTGTGACGGAGGCCTAGATTGGCTGAACATGAGGCTTTTCGAAAGGACTTTGGATTTTTTGTAGATGGCTACTTCCTAATTGGGACTCGAGGCCCGTGCTGCAAAAAGCGTTTTCACGGCCGTGGTATAAATTGTTGAGTACAGTTTAATGTCACGCAAAGTCAAACGTTCAAAACCAATTGGACTTTTTCTGAAGATTCAGAGTCGATACCGCAGCATGAGCTTAGGCAAGGCTGTTGTCGTCTTGAAAATCCAGCTCCGGATTCGCTGGCGCAGATGGATCGCATCTAGCCAATCAAAGGCCATTCCGCATGTATTGAGAGATGAGTCATCATTTGATCACGTGGAGCTTCACGAGCGCGGCATCTGTATCAACGATACGTGGTGCACGTAAGGGAGATACATGGGCAATGGCAATGTACGAGGCCTCTAAATACTGTACTTGCAAACAACAGTACAGAATATCTTGCAGACGATCACTAGCAACGTCTCGGACGGGCGCCGTCCACATCCATGGTTCGCGTATGTCTCACGCTGCGGTGCGTCGCGCTTGAAGCAGCAGAAAGGTGGTATGGAAAGAGCAAAATAAACGACGATAAAAAAAATAACATGTGGTTAATTGATGTAGAAAGAAACTGTACTCGGCTTGCATCATCGATTTGCATGAGCCAAAAGTTGAGCAAAACAGGAGCCGAAACACAAAAAGAATGACAGGAGTGGGACTCGAACCCACGCACCTTTCGATACTGCAAGTCAACCAAATTTTAATCTGGAAAGAATAATTCTTGAGTGCAGCGCCTTAACCGCTCGGCCATCCTGCCTGTTTAGAACTGGTAATTGCAGTCCGTTGGAGGGTTTATAAAGACCAGCACAGCTCCACCTTTCACAGGCAGTCACTTTTTGCTCTCATTTTCAAGCCATTTCGCAACCACGGTCCGCCACTTTGGTCACCGGAGATGCCCTGATGCCTCGCTCTAATCTGCACCAAGCAATTAGTGGAAAGCTGGAAGGCATAAGGGCCTGCTAGCTTTTCCGTTTTGCTTTCTGCACCGTTTGTATCGGTATGTCCTCTTCACACTCATCAGCCGTTGGCGCTGAAGTCTTGCCCGTGATTTCGCCAATTCGCCAATTCGCCAACTATATCGATTCATCGTAAAGGTCCTACGCCGGACTTCATGTGATTTTCGCTCGGCCAAGGCTGCCAAGGCTAGGCGCGTTGGCGTATGACACTGGCGAGTCTGGGCGCTGACACCAAGACAAAGAGCCCTGCGTCTACTCAGTACGTCTGCCCAGCTCCGACAAAGCAGTGTAAGATACGATTTACACCATGCAACATATTGCGTGTGTGTGATTACTTCGTCGAGCCACCACGAGAGGAAATAGAAGAAAAGCGCAGGCTGCCTGAATGTACCCTTGCCCCTTTCCACCTCCTCCTCTTAGCACTGCTGCGTGTCCCGTTTTGCGCAGCACCGTTGCATCGCGGTTTATGCGTAATTCCATAGCAAGGCCCCAGTCAACCCCAAAATAAGGGCGTCAGACGTCCAAGACTCTGGGCAAATCAGCATCACGTCGCCCCCTTGACGAACTGTTAGCGTGTCCTCGTGGGCGCCCCGGCTGGGGCAGGGCAAGACCGTCCCGCACAGTAGGCGCTAGCCGCAACGCACTAAGGGACGCCAAAGGGTAGGGGCGGATGGCGCAGTGGCTGGTCTTCGCCGCATTAGCCGTTGTTTGATGGATTTCAGGGTGAACGTCGTTGTCGGTGTATTTTCCCAACCTTTCTTTCTTCCTGCCGTCCTTACTCTAAGCGGAGCAGAGCCGCCAAAGGTGTACTTTTCTCTACAGAAGTATCTTTTTTTTTTTTCGGTACGAAAACGTATCTGAATAATTTTCGGGCCTGTTCTCCATCGTGCTTGCCTTGTTGTTTATGCTTTAAACCTCTCTTTCCCCACGCATTGTCTTCTCCTTCCTTGTTTAGATTACTGCTGTACTCGACTTGAGTACCAGAACCGCATAATTCCTACCCTTTCTCAATTTTCCTGGTACATGGGCTGGGTCGGTCCTTCCTCTTGCGGCTCGATATTGCTCGTCTGCCTTCCTGCCTTCCTGCCTTTCTCACCAGCCTATTGTTTCCGAGGCCACCCTCTGCTCTGAAGACTCCGTGCAGAGCTCCTGAAGAATACGTCGTTCTTCCAGCGCCATTGCCTTGCCAGGCATTCCTTGCCCTCCTTGCAGTTCTCGAAGAGCCGTCAGCTCCATAAAACGAGTCGGGGCGCACCTTTTTGGGTGGAAAGAGTGGATACGACATCCTTGCAGCTGTTCGTTCCTGCCTAGACTGCATCAAACAACAAACACGAAGAAGGAAATAAGGAACCGCCGCGACCCCGGTCCCGCGCACCTTCCTTGGACAGTCAGCTCAGAAAACTGCCTTCATTTGCGCCTTCCCCCTATTGTTTTCCATATTGACAATACCGGGTGCTCCTGCTGCCCTGGTCCCCCTCTCATTGGTTCTGGATCTTCCCAGAGCCCCAAATCGCGATTTTGTTCTCAACCTCGCATCTCACTCTTACATTGCACACTCTCACACATTCCTTCCATCGCCCTCATCATCGACCTCCTTTGCGCGACCGCGCAAGCTCAACAAACGCCACAATGCGGACCGGCTCTATCTTGGAGTCGCTGGCGCTCTTCGTTGCCACCACATCAGCCGCCAATGTCGTCGAAATCGGCATCAACAGAATACGGCCCGGCCAGGAGGGCCTCGCCAACACCCTGAGAAGCCGCGCCTCCTCGCCCAGCACCTTCATCGAGACGCTCGTCAACAACGTCACTGGCGGCGGCTACTACGCCAGCGTCAACGTCGGCACGCCGCCCCAACCGCAGGTCCTGGTGATCGACACGGGCAGCAGCGACGTCTGGGTCATCGCGTCTGATGCCGACCTCTGCACCAGCTCTACTCTGCAGCACAAGTACCGCGACACCTGCTCCCACACGTACGACTCGTCCAAGAGCTCGACGTACAAGCTCGTCAACAGCGAAGGCTTCGACATTACCTACCTCGACGGCACGGGCTCGAGCGGCGACTACATTGCAGACACGTTTGAGATTGGCGGCGCCAGCATCAAGGCCCTGCAGATGGGCCTCGCCTCGCAGACCATCCGCGGCACAGGCATCATGGGCATCAGCTACTCGGCTAGTGAGTCGACGCTGGACACCTACCCGAACCTGATTGACCAGTTCCAGGAGCAGGGCCTCATCGCGACCAAGGCATACAGTCTGTACCTCAATGACTTCCGCTCCGACTCGGGCTCCATTCTGTTTGGCGGCGTCGACAAGGACAAGTTTATCGGCAACCTGACCACCATGCCCATCCTCCAGACCAAGTCCTCCAACGGCACGGCCGGCCACAGCGTCCTGGCCGTTGCGCTCAACTCCATGACTGCCGACCCCGGCACCGGCAAGAACAAGAACCCCGTCAGTTTTCCCTCGGGCCAGCCGCTGCCTGCCATCCTGGACTCCGGCACCACGCTCTCCTACCTGCCCAGCTCCGTGGCCAGCTCGCTCTTTAATGCTATTGGCGCCTACACCGACGATGTTGTGACGGGCTACACGTTCATTGACTGCGACGGCCCGGACAGCTTGTCCTTGACGTTTCAGCTCGGCCAGGCCGCCACGATTGAGCTGCCCAAGGCGCAGATCGTGCTTGACGTGTTCCAGGGCATGCAGAGCCAGATCCCCTCCAACGTGCCATTCTCCAACGCGTGCCTGTTTGGCTTCCAGGACATTGGTACCGCCTCGTCCTCGTCGCTGTCGGTCATTGCCGCCAACAACATTGCCGCCACCTCGGGCAGCTCCTACGCGCTTCTCGGCGACACCTTCCTGCGGTCCTCCTACGTCGTCTACGACCTGACCAACAATGAGGTCGGCCTCGCCCAGGCCAACCTCAACAGCACCTCCTCCAATGTTGTCGAGCTGCAGGCGTCCGACGTAGGCATTCCGACACTGACGGGCGTCACGGCCCAGCAGACCACCTCGACCTCAAGCTCGGGTGGTAGTGGCGGCGGTGGCTCCGGCGGCGGCTCCGGCACCACCAGTGGGAGCGACGGCGGTGGCACTGTCACTGTCACCGCAAGCCCCGGCTCGAACGTCGCAGCCGGCCGGGTTTCGGGCCCCAGCTACGGTGTCTTGGCGGCGGCCGGTGCGGCCTGCTTGGCCTCGTTCCTGGGCGGTGCCATGGTCATGGCATAAACGTCTCTTTTGTCCCTTTCTCTCTCTCTCTCTCTCTCTCTGTCAACATCATTCCTTTGATTATATGTTTTCCATTGTGTATATTGCCTTTTTTATTTATTATCATGCATAATTTCGTGGTCAGCTGGGTGTACCAATTGAGCAACGGAACGGACTTTTTGGGTTACATACATATCCACATATGCACCATGCACATACTTAGTATTATAATTTACAAAATATAGAACTAAAAAATAGTGGCAACGCCAAAGGAAATCCATATGCAACGATAGCCATGGACCTGTATAGCATGCTGGGCGTTAATCCTCCTCCTTGAAAATGGCGTCTTCGTCGTCTTGTGCAGCGGCAGTAGCTGCAGCAGCCGCCGCTGCGTCTGCCTCTTCTCGCTCCAAGGCCATCAATCGTTGCCGCGCCGTGTCTCGCGTCTGCTGCACAAAGTCTGCATATGTGCTCTCCGTCCGCCGCGCTGCCACGTCCGCCGCGTCGCCTAGTTTGCCGCCCTGTGCACCCAGGCCCACACCCGACCGGTAGGCAGCCAGTGCGACCGCTTCGGTGAGACCGCCGCCCTGTGCGCCCAGTCCTTGGCCGGCCGTCCAGCCCATCTTTCCAAGCAGAGCAGCACCTTTGGAAGGGGTAGCAGTCGACGTGGCAGCAGATCCTGCCTCGTGCTTGCCGGGCCGCTTGCCGCCGGCCGACCTGCCCTTGGTACTGTCGCCATGTACGAGGCGCCGTTCGCGGGCCCGGTCTCGGTATTGTGCGGTCGTAGTTCCTGCCGTCGACGGTGCGGCCGGTCGCATGTGAAGGAGGGGCCGTATGTGGAGTCTAGGAGCCGTCGTGGTTGGGGGCACATTGCCCTCGTCTTTTTCTGGCCCAACGTCTCCCTCCTTTGGTGGGTCCTTCCGTTGTAGGTCGGCATCCTCTACAGCTTTGTTGACAGCCGCCACGGCTGCCGCCACAGACGCTGGATCGCGGGTGCGCGCCCGGTGCAGAGCACTCTCACGTTCGTGCAGACGAAGCATTGCGCGGCTTCGAAAGCGCCGCCCACACAGGAGGCACGCATGGTACAGAGTGGCACCACTGTCGTCCCCGGAATTCGGGACTCGTATAGGCGCGGCATACGAGGTATACGTTGGCGCAAGGTCACCGCGACGACGGGGCAGTCGTTTGATATGGACCGGCGGTCGATCGATTTTGGGGCCAGAACCAGACTGGCGGTCCTGGCGGTCTCGGTCGGCCAATGTGTCGTCTCCATTCGATTCTACCGCGTCGGTCGCCGCAGCTTCGTTTTTGGCAATCTTGGCGTATCGATGTAAGGCAGTCTTGCGTGCAGTGCCATCGCGCAGCTGCCGCCGGTGCCGCGACGACAGTGCCTCATGATCGCGCAGCTGCTGGCGCGAATCGAAGCGCACGAGACAAAGCAGACAAGTCGGCGGCAACGAGGACGTCGCCGTCGCCACGGCAGCGGCTTTTTCGCCCATTGAGTTGCGCCCCAGGCCGGCCCCGATGCCAAAGGACACATACCGGTCGCGGCGGTGGGGCGCACGGAGCTGCTTGGAAAACGGAAGCGTGCTGGTCTTTGCAAGTTTTGCCGTCTTGGTCCTGTTCTTGCTTCCCTCTGACGACGTGCCGAGCCTCGCCTTCTTGCGTGGTCGGCCGCTTGCGTCGGTGGCTCCGCCGCCGTCCTCGCCGCTCTCCCCATCTCCCGTCGCGACGTCTGCGCCGCCTCCCAGCTCCGCCGTCATCTTGGCCCATTTTTGCACCTGGCTCTGCATTCGCGGTGCCATAGCGGCCGCTGCTGCTGCCATTCGCTTTTCTTTCTTGGCCGCCGCGACGGCTGCTGAGACTTCGTGTTTGCCGGCGGCGGAGCCACCGCTGTCGCGGGCAGCTGCCGACGTCGGATTGGGCGCCATATTTATGAGCCGTGTCGCTATGATGTCTGTCTAAACATTGGCGTGGATGAAGAGGAAGATGGTGTTGAGGTATTGTATGAAGCAGACGCCGTTGACGAAAACACGTGAACCAGTTGTCGGATCTGGTTGAATACAGAAGGCGCGGACGGCCAAGCACTGTTGCCCCATAGGCTAAATTTAGCAAGCCACGGCAAACAGCAGGTGCGTTTGGCTGTGGCTAGCGCACTGTTCAGCACTGTCCGATAAGGAAAGGGTGACTCTGGAGCCAAAGGCCAGTCAAGACAATGGGATGGAAAACTTTCAATTTCGTCAAACCCCAAAACAATACATTGCGATACGACGACACAACGACAGCCCGACTTTGCAAGCGACGTGATCTCATCGAAAGACGCACCGGGATCGTGTTTCTGGCCGACTGCGGGCGGGATCGACGCCAACGATGCCTCCGCCAGGGGCCAATCTGACGGGCAACACCCTGAGCCCATTAAATACCAACACGACAGCCACTCACAACAACAGCTCTGGTCGTCGTCCATCGCTGCTCTCGCCCGTCGAGTACGATGCCGACGCCGTCTCGATCCGCAGCGACCAAGACAGCGACAGCGATGACGACCAGCTGCAGCAGCGGGCACGCAACAGCCGCGAGCTGCGGGCGCACGATCGGATGGTGTTTCTCGAGGAGGACGAGGCCGACCAGCTGGTGCTGAATGCACGGCGGGAGCAGGACCGCGGACGGCGGCGGGGGTCGAACTTGGCTTTGGCCAACCCGCTCAAGTTTCTGGGCATCCGGCGGTACAGCGACGGCAGCCGATCGCGAAGTCCGGATCCGACGCCGCGGTCGACGATAACCAATGCGACAACACTGCGGGCATCGACATCCACCGAACGGTTTAGCCGGGGCGGAAAGAAGGGCGGAGTGTCAAAGTCTGAAAAGCGACGGCAACGGCGGCAGCGGCGGAAAGACAAGAAGAAACGGCTGCTCTCACAAGCGCGCGATGGCGAGGACGCGGAGCTCATGTTTGAGATGGAAGAGGGCGGCATGAAGGAAGGCAGTTCGACGGGCGACAGCAGCGACCGCAGCGATCGCGGCGACCGCGACGACAGCGACGACGCGGACCGCCGCGGGCTGGCTGGGTTGGCCGAGCTCAAGGGCCGGCGCAAGCGGCGCAGCTGGGGCCGCTGGCTGTTGCTGCACACGATGATTGCGTTAGCGTTTTCCCTGCTGGTGCTGGGCGCGTGGAAGATGACGCTGGTCAAGAAGGCCGAGCATGCACAGCAGCAGGAGGCCCTCAAAGGCGACAAGCCCGCCAAGGCCCGAACGCTGGTCACCAACGGCACGGCGCTATTCGCGCCGACGACGCTCCTCATCAGCCTCGACGGCTTTCGGGCGGACTTTCTGAACCGCGGACTGACGCCACGGCTCAGCTCGTTTGTGCGCGAGGGCGTGTCGCCGCTGTACATGCTGCCGTCGTTTCCGAGCGTGACGTTTCCCAACCACTACACGCTGGCGACGGGGCTGCACCCGGAGTGCCATGGCGTGGTGGGCAACACGTTCTGGGATCCCGAATTCAAGGCCGACTTCCACTACACGGACCCGGCACGCAGCTTGGATCCCAGGTGGTGGGGTGGCGAGCCGTTCTGGGTGACGGCGGAGCGGCAGCGCGCGCGCACGGCGGTGCACATGTGGCCCGGCAGCGAGGCGCACATTCTGGGACTGGAGCCGTCGTACGTGGACAAGTACAATGGCGACGAAAAGCTCTCGAAAAAGGTGGTCCGCATTCTTGAGTTTCTGGACAAGCCGGGACTGGAGACGGCGGCCGCCGACGACGTGGACGGAATGAGGGTACCAAACCTGCGGCCGCAGCTCATTGCGGCATACGTGCCCAATGTGGACGCAGACGGGCACCGGTACGGGCCCAACAGCACGGAGATCCGCGGGACGATTGCGGCGGTGGACTCGATGCTCAACGACATTTTTGCCGGCCTGGAGGCACGCAACCTGACGCACATTGTCAACGTGATTGTCGTGTCGGACCACGGCATGGCGACAACGGACGCGTCGCGGCTGATGCAGCTCGAGGACCTCGTGGACATGGACCGGGTCCAGCACGTGGACGGGTGGCCGCTGGTCGGGCTGCGGCCCAAGGATGACAGCCCCGAGGAGCTGGAGGCGCTGTACCAGTCGGTGCTGAACCGCACAGCGGACAACCCGAACCTGGAGGTGTACCTGCGGGACGTCAACATGCCGGCGCGGTACCACTTCTCGCACAACCCGCGGATCGCGCCGCTTTGGCTGGTGCCCAAGGCGGGGTGGAATATTGTGCAAAAGGCCGAATTCAACGTGGCTGAGGGCCTGGCCAACAACCTGGTGTACCATCCGCGGGGGCTGCACGGCTACGACCACGAGCACCCACTGATGCGGGCGATTTTTGTGGCGCGCGGGCCGGCGTTCCCGCATGCACCGAACAGCAAGCTGGAGCCGTTTCAAAACATTGAGGTGTACAACATGCTCTGTGACTCGATCGGGATCGAGCCGGCGGTCAACAACGGCACGCTGCATCTGCCGCTGAAGCCAGTGGGACTGCACGACGCGCCGCCTGCGGAGCCGGACGATCCTGTGCCGGCGTACACCAAGGAGACGAGTGCGTCGGATGTGGCGACGACGCCAAAGACGGCGCCGGTGCCCATTCCGACGCAGTCCACGAAAGCAGCGACTGTGGGCGTCGATCCCGTCGACAAGACGACTACGAAAAAACCCACGCCATCAACTGGGTTGCCCTCCGCGTCGGGCACCGTGAGTCTGCCTTCCAGTTCGCCTGCTCCTGTTGACGGTGACGGCGACGGCGACGGCGACAACAACAGCGACAAAAACCCGCTCAACAAGGTGGCCGAGGCGGCGGCGGACCTGTGGGGTTGGATCACAGACAAGATTGGCGAGGTCTGGAGCAAGATCAAGGGCCACGGTGGTGATGCTGATGACAAAGACGGCCGCAAGAACGCGGCAGGCGTCAGAAAAGAGTAGGCCACCTGAAGGAAATGTCGACGTCGTTGCTGTTGAGGTTGGCCTCATTGCGATGTTATTCTTTGCTGTCTTGCTGCCCATTGGCCTTGATTCCCCAAGATTGCCTCTACGAATTGGCTTATTCTTTGCTTTTTTCCAATATTTTGTTGCATTTATTTTTGGGCGATTTGGTTTGCTTACTTCAGCGATGGCAGCGGGCGTGTTGGTTTGATGCGAATTGTTTTTTTTTTTCTTCTTGTTTTTTCTTCTGATAATGTTACCATTATTTTCGAGTATTTTCTTACTGCAGCAACAAATTTGTACATTTCCGACTCTCGGGTCACGGGTCACTTTCCCACGGCAATGCAAACGTCTGCCTATTTCATTTCTGTTTGCTCTTTGCAATACCCATATACTGGCGAAACGCCTTGGTCTAGGGTCGCCCCTTTGGGCCCTTTTCGACCATTCGGCCAGCGTCACGACTACAACAACACTACAAACAACGATCTAGGCCAGTCTCAAGGCGGCCCAAATGTGGTCTCATTGACTAAGCCGCTGCCGCAATACTAACAAAGCCTTGCAGTATGCCTCAAAAGGCCTTTTTTTTTGTTCGCTCAATGCCTCCGCGGCTCCCTTCTTTTCCAGCGCCTTTCGTCCTCAAAATTCTCAATAAAGTCCCGTCTTCTGAGCCGTCATACGGCCAGAGCGATGGTGTTGTGAGACTGCGCCCTGCTTTTCGATGCTGTGCCGCCAGCTACAGCATTCGTTTTCTGAAACCAACAGACAGCGCCTGGGTTGGGGCCCGAGCCGCAAACAAGACAAAGAGCAAAGGAAAAGGAGAGAAAGAAAACGAAGAGGTGCGTTCCACTAATTATGGTCATGAAGAGAGACGAATGTAACCATATAAGACGCGATAAAGAAAACAACCAAAGAAAATAACCATGCGCCGCATGCAAGCCAGCAAGCCACACGGTCATTCCGACAGGGAGTCGCTTTTCAAGGAGGGGTCCAGCTTCAGCACATGACGTTATCGGCTGTCGTTTTTGTTTTGCTCTTTGTCCTCGCACCATTTTCCTTTGCCGGATAAGAGAAAGAGGGCGCCAGGCGCGCAAGGCGACCAACCATGTGCCATGTTGGGAACAGTGGACGGCCAACCGCGGGTGGCGCTGCTGGTGCGACCTGTGGCGATGCAGCAGGGGTCAAGATGGGAGCAGATCGCAGGACAGCACGTCACACTGCACAAAACTGACGGGGAACGACGTAATGTACCTCGCGGCTCAGAAAAGGCTCGTCGTGTCCTTTTGCCATTTGGCTAGACAGTCGACCACTGGCCTGCAATACCAGCCAACGGCTGCCATAGTCATTGGTCGTGTCGTTTGACCTGTCTTGCGGACTCCATTTTTATAGGAGGGTGGCCTGCGCCTGTCATTCGCCCCTGTCGCCTTTTTTGCGCAGCCTTGGCTCTGGATCTCTTTGACAGTTGAGCATCTATCGGGATCGTGCGATTTCGATCAAAGCGTCAAAGGCGTGGATCAAAGAGACGACAGGCGCGAGTAAAGCGAGGGGGCTAGGACGGGCAAGAACTGTCAAAGAGCGACAAAAAAGGCGACGGAAAGAAGTTGCAGACGAAGTATATAAATATCGTCCTGCCGCTCGTCGTTCTTTGTGGATTTCTTTATTTTGGAAACTTCATCCACGGATCACATTTACAACAAGACAAAAAAAGACACACAAACACACACACTTGACGTACTCTTCCTTTTGTTATTTCTTCAATTGACTTTCTTCTATTCACCTTCGTTATAACTGCTACGTCTGTTTTTACTCCGTTCTCTTTTGAGGACAAACACACGCCTCTTTCACTCGCCGCTGCGATCCATATATCAGACAATATACAACAAAAACAACAACCAAGAAACAAAAAAAAATCAACAGAAACAACTCAGAACAAACATCACAACACACAAATTAGCAAGCCTTCCTTCACCACGGCCACCATGTGCTACAGCGGCTGCTACTACTACCCCTGCATCCACACCCCGGGTGCCTACTCATACGGCCCCGGTTCAACGTGGTCGACGTCCGGTTACAGCTCCACTTCGTCCACGTCCACCGGCTATCCCACCATCGCCGACGAAGAGAGCCTCCGCTGGCTTCGCAACCGCCGCCGCAGCCGCCGCACGGACGACGAAGTCTACAATGTGAGCGTGCGGTACCGCAGCGGCAGCCGCAGTGGACGAAGCAGAAGCCGGTCTTTCTTGGACTCTCCCAGCATGTCGCCAGGCGTCTTGCTGCCGTCGACGTACTACGCCTTTGTACCGGCCAGCAGCCGGCGCCGTCTGCGGGTGTCCGTCTACGAATGAGGCGCGACGACGACGATTGAGACTTGATCTTTCTCGTCTGCTTTGCTTTTGTCGACACATCCGACTTCGACACGTTCTTTGATTCCCTTTGCTTTTGTTGTATTTTTTCGTTTATTCTTTGTTTTGAGACGTTGTTTTTGCTTGCCTGGTTTTTTTTTGTTTTTTTTTTTCACATGTTCCATTTTCAACATTTTCGTTGCGTTTTGGTGTGTGTTTTTTCCCCTTTAATATTCCCACTTTCGTTTCACACATCATTGGACTTTTTACATCAGTTTGTCATCTCCAACAACGCATTTCATTTCATTCTTTGTTCAACAGTCAAACCTATGTCTTCATGGACCTGTTTTATTTTTGACTTATTTTGTTTCGTTTGGTTTCACCCACTCCTGATCATCATCACCCCGTTTCCCTTTGTCTTGTTTACACTGGCAGACGATCTGCGCTTGCTCACACTTGTTTCTCTTTTCATTTCTTTTGTATCCATGGTTTGGCATCACTTCACAGATTGCACGAGAGAAGGATTGTTTGGGGTTTGCATCGACGGGACTCTCTTTTTTGGAGTCCATCGCCGTGTTTGCTTGCAATTGTATTGAAGTTTTGGCTGTCGGACTGTTTCTTTGCCCAGTAGTAGCCGAGTAGCTTAGCTAGATATAAGAATCAAACACCCTAAAAAAACGAAAAAATATACAGACAAAAAGTGAAACGCCAGTCCCTGCCAATAGGGAGCCTGCATGGGGATCATTGTTTGTCCTCCATGTGAAATCCAAAATAAACACCCTGAAACGTATTTCGTTTCCCTTTGCCCAAGTACCAATACACAATGAAAAGAATCTGGATATCAAACAGAAGCCGGGGGTATCATGACAAAAAAAATAAGTGCCCAGTGGGCAGAGGTGAGTGGGATGAGACGAGTCGAATCAAGAGAGTAGTGGAAGAGGATAGGAAATGTGAGAGAACGTCAATGTGTAGAAAAGAGAAGCCATAGATGCCATAGGAGATGTCATAGAGATGCGAGAGTCTCGCGAGGGCCGAGTGACTTAATCGTCAAAAGCGCTAAAGACAATGCCGCGGCGCTTCCAGTTGCCACGCTTAAAGTAGCGCTCCGACTCGGACTCGGCCGTATGCGTGCGCGGCGTCACGGGCGAGGCGGGCTCGCTCGTGGGCAGGGCAGGCATCGGCGGCGTGGACGGCCGGTCCAGGACGCCGCTGTCGCCCAGCAGCTGCAGGTCGCGCATGGTCTGCTGGAGGTTGGCCTCGGACTGGTGCGCACGGAGGCGGTGGTGGCGCGGCGGAGGCGCCGACAGGCCCTGGACCTCGAAGCCCTCGTCGTCAGCGGCGGACGAGGCCAGGTGGATGTCGGCAATGGTCTGGCGGACGGCGCGGCGACGAGACGCGGTAGAGGGGCGGGGCGCCGACGCATCAAAGCCAAAATCGAAGCCGTGAGGCCCTCTGGTGGTGGCCGCCAGCGCATCAGCATCCTCCTCGTAGTAGAATGAGCGGCCGGCGTCGTAGTACTGGGGCGAGGCGTTGACCACGGGCATGGGCATGGGCATGGGCATGCAGGGCACGGGGTGCAGCCGCAGAGAATCCCACTCCAGGCCGGCGTTGCGGGAGGATGTCGTCGACGAGGTGGTCGAGGCGTTGGAGGACCAGGAGCTGGAGGCGCGGGACGCGTGGCTGCAGGTGCTGGCCTGGCGGTAGTGGATGTGGTCGTCGTGGGGGTGGTCGACCTCGGCGATGGGGATGCCGCCGTGGCCGCTGGTGCGTGGCCGCTGGGTGGGCGGCATGGGCATGGGGATGGGCCTGGAGACGGTCATGGGGACGGTCATGGGCTCGACCGAGGCGGATGTAGAGAAGAGGCGAGGCGAGGAGATCTGGGTCGGCGAAGGTGGCATCTGCGGAAGGGTCTCGTCGTCGCTGGAATGGGAGTTGCTGTGGTTGTGCAGACGGCGCAGACTCCGTGCGCGATGCAGGAGTTTCTGGCTTGTGGCGAGCATTGTGCCGGCGAGGAAGAAACACCGTATATGTGGATGTGGTGGTGTGGAGGAGTATGATGTCCTCGAGGCAGTGTGTGGTGGTGGGTGATGTTGAAAGAGGATGTTGTTCTTGAGAAGAGAGAAGGACGAAGAGGAGGGACAAGGATGACAGGCAAGAGGGGGGATGCAGCTGCCTTTGTATAGAAATGCGTTGGATGAGACGGAAGGCGCGGAGGAGGAGGAGAGGTGAGAAGGGAAGGCTCCGCATTAAGAAGGCAGCCGCATTCCAGATGCAAGCTTGAATGCTGGTCGTGCTTGCCTGGGCAGGCCGTGTAAGTGATTTCCATGTCTTGGTCTGGCTGAAGTGCAGGTGTGCTAGCGCGTGAATGGGTGTGTGTAAGTGGGAGTGATGGACAGGCACGCTAGCGAGCTAGCGGTGTTAGTGTGGCAGACTGGTCGGAGATCCAAGGAAAGAGCAAAGGTACTGTAGCTGAGATGTACAAAGTATCTTTGTACCGTCTTTCACGCTTTTCGTTTCTTGTCTCTGGTGCCCCATTGCGCCGACGGCGCAAAATACATGCCGCATGGCACCAGGCTATGATACATCCAGGCCATCCAGAGCCCACTCATCCATGCCCAGACTCGCCAGAGTCCAAACTCGCCTCTGGACGGCGTAACAAAGACGATGGAAAGAGGGGACGGAGAGGAGGCAAGAACGACCAGCGAGGTGCCCGTCGCCTGCCTTTGTTGAAGTAAGAAATATTTAAGGAAAAAAAAAAGGCAAAAAGCAGAGCCTTTTCTTTTCCCGTCGTAAACCGTACCCTCTCTTCACGATTGGGAGTGTCTTGGCTGGAAGGCCCAACGTCTCACTTGTGCGTAGCTTGCGTCAAATTGGCGTGCGTCTGGAATGCAGCGTAAAGTGGTTTTCACTTTTCTGCATTCCTGTCGATTCTGTCTATTCTGTTGCGGTCGTCCCGCCGCCAACGCCGAGAATGTCGATGATGCAGGCTCTTTCACTACTTCCGGCGATCAAAGTTCACACAGCTTCACGCCGTTGCTGTAAGTCGGTACCTGGCAAGTCGTCGTAGTTGCGTCACGACAGAGGCGATGATGCGGATCAGAATGAGAAGCCAGAGCCACAAAAGTACTGTGTGGGCCGCGACTAACACACATGACTGTGCGAGAGATTTCGTTTTCTCGTTTGCTCTTTTCCTCTTTCTGTTGTCCTCATTTTCTTTTCAGCTGTCCACCTCGTCTCTCTATTGTTCGATAGTCTTGGCGGCCTCAGCTGGCGTCGCTCGTTGAGAGCTGGAAACAGGTACAGAGGCTGAGAGGACCAAGGTATGAGTGGATCCCACACCACCAAATTTAGCTGGTGGACGGGGATGTACCTCGCGGTACCCACACTCCAATTTGGCGTGGAGCGGTACCTGATGTGCATCTGGCGGTGAAGAAGAGCCATGAGGATGCGAGACAAGGGATAAGGGGCAACCGAGGAAAACAGAAGAAAATGACCTGGCAAGACGACGCTAGAACCAGTTGAGAGGTATGAAGCGAGACAAACAACGGATACAACTGACGTGGGCGACCATACCGCCAGGAAATCCCCCCAAGAAAATAAAACGAAGAAATAGATAAAGGCAAAAAGCATGACAGCCTCGATCTCGACAGTCCCACAAGTGAAATTCAGGTACCGTGAGCAATTAAAACCGACCATCCCTTGCCAGCGCCGATGAGGACGTCACGGCCTCATGTCAAGAAGGACACTGAATGTGTGCATTTTAGCACCAGACCCTCAAACTTCAGTCTTTCTTGCTGGGTCCATCCCTTGACTGTCGTCACTGTAGAAACAAGAGTGGAAGGGAGACTGAACGAAATAAAAAAAAAATTGTCGAGAATGGGTGCAGAAAGACCTAGATGACGTTCGTCCTGTCTCGCAAATGCCTGATGATGTCTTGATTCTCTCTTGATTCTCTCCTGATGCTCGATTCAATCCAAAACGTACGACGTAGTTCGTAGCCGGTCTGAGTTAGCACATTGAACGCAAAGTACATCGTAGCTTCTTTGCTTTCGTTCTCCTCTTACCCGTCGACGGAACATTACTGTTTTTTGCCCACCATCCTGGTGGGGTGTGGCAGTGGCAGGCGAGGTCACCAGGTCCTTTTTCTGGATTCATAAATTGATTTTCTCTTTTCGTTCGTACGTGGTGACGGCAACCGTGGTACAGCCATCTCGTACATCGAGAGATGTGGGGCATATGTGTGTCGGCATATTGTCTTTCCTCGTCTTCCCGTACGTCGATGCGGAGTATGTTGTACACGCATTGCATCTTGGCGCCTTTCGTTTTTTCCGGGCTCGTTGGGAGGAACGTGCGCACGCCAAGACAGACAGCTGGACGGCGAATGTCGTATGCAATACTTGCGTATATTGGCAGCCCACTTTCTGTCAACCAAAAGGACCCGACTTTGCAGAGTCCTAACCCGTCTGCACCCGTCGCAAAGCACAGACAATGGAAATCCAAGACGAGGCTCAGGAACAGGAACAGGACAGCGGCCGTTGGGGGTTTCGAGTCTGTCACCAAAGCAAGAGAGGGGGGAAGGTGTTGGCCAACGAGGACCGTTTGACTAGGAACGAGCAACAAGAGGAAAGGAAGAGGTAAGCAGAGCTAGTGTGAGCCTCATTGCCTGCTTTGGCACTACTTTTCGAGGCGATGGCCGAGTCTAGAGGATTTTAGAAAGTACTCTCGACTGAACTGATGCTCAGCAGGTAGGGCGATTCAAGCACAATCATACGACGACCCATCATCGGCCAAGACGAGGCACGTTTCTGAGCCAATGAACTACGTCGTAGGTGGAGTTCGAGAGCCAGTACGATTTACATGTACGGAATGGGCGGACGAAGAAGGCTTGGCGATATGGAGAATGTACCTTTGCAGGCTACTTACAAAAGGGTGTACATTGATGGTCCCTGTCAGCACCCGCCCTACGTTAGTGCAGCGACTTTTCGCGTCAGCTTGTTTCGTCTCGAATTTTCTTTGTCTTTCGTTGTATGTTCTCCATTGATGTTGCAGCACTATGTCGATCGTTTGGTGTGAGCCGCTTTAGTTATCGAGATGGCGTTCAAACTTGGCGTTTATTCAGTGTGTGTATGAAGTATGTGATTAACCTTTTTTCTCTCTTTCTTCTCTCTCTTTTTGAATTCGCCTCCCGTCATCAACTGGTCAAACGACTTTTCTTTCGCCTTTCGTTTCGGGAGCCGTCTCGTGCATCGTTCTTCATCGTTTCGACAAGCGGCGCAGGATGTCGCTGAAAGCGTATTAGCCAGGGCACATGCGGCGACTACATGGACGGGTTTCTTTTCTTTTGCTTACGTTGTCAGAGATCTCTCGGCCGGGACTCGCAAAGTGGCCAATCTTTGGTACGAGGAATGCTCACTGCATTTCGTACAGTACAGATTGTCTATGGCGCTTGCCGTCTCAGACAGGCTTGGTACGATTGTTGAAGCGGCCCCTTTCCTTTTTCAGCGACGGGGCCAAAAGAGGGGAAGGCACGACTTGGCAGTGGAGGCAGTGGAGGCAGTGGAGGCTGTGGAGGCTTTTCGGTAAATTGTCCAGCCGTGCACGACGTTCAAAAAAGCAATAACCTATTGGAACAGAATGATGATGGGCGGTCTTGTGTGTTCAAGCCGGCTGAAGATAAGATATCATTGGCAGAGTGAGAGGGCTTCGTACGACAGGACGAGGGCCACCATGCTCCATACTCCAACGAAAACCAAATAAAAGACGAAAAATGAAACGAAGTCCGAAATTGGAAGTACGAAGCGCGCGCACTTGGGAGATGAACACAACAATACGATAGAGCGGAAGGCGAGAAAGGCGAGAAAGGCGAGAAAAAAGGCGACGCTTGTCTGGCGTCGGCTGTTGGAACGAGTTGTCGGATTGAGGGACGAGGAACGATGCCGCGGATGGGCTTTGGATTGCCGCGACAAGACGAGAAGGGGAGATTCGCCCTCTCCCATTTCTCGGGTCCATTGTCTCCTGTCGACGACGATGGCGTCTGTTGGTTGCTGAAGCTGTCACGGTCTGCCATTGTCTTTGTTGTCTTTGTTGTCTACGTCGTCTGGAGGTGAAGATTTCGTTAGTCTCGTCACTTTTGCCACATTCAGGTACGACAAACCGCCAGAAGCAGGTACAACACTCTGGACCAAGGGTCCAGACCAAGCCTCATGTGTCCAGAAGAGGTAAGGAGTGAGGGGAACGCGAGAGGGGAAGGCGGTCAACGACCGCTAAACAACAGTGGTCGGCAAGCATCAACTAAGACTCAAGTGCGCCAACACGGCCAACATGACCAACACACCGCCACAACACCACCATTCTTACACCCCATCCACACCATGACACACTTTACTCCATTACGTATACGAGCCACACCAAGTCAGGTCATGCTTTGCACGTTCGATTGACTTTGTTCTTTGTCTTCGTTTTGCATCTTTTTCAGTCATGTCACTTCTGCAAGTGCGCCTTCCTTCTGGTACACATCCGCGTTCGTGAAACAAGCAGGCATTTTGTCATTATTGTCTTTACAAACACTATTGGACGGCGCTCCAGATGCGATGCAGACATGTCCACAACCTGATAATGCAAAGCTGCGACGACTTGCCATCATTGGCTGCCGCACATCAAAAAGGCTCTGCGGCTGCATGAGCTCTGCGTTGGCAAAATCCCCCCCACAGCCTTTCCTCCGCAGTCGCAGTCTTCACCGCAACTGTCAAGCCACTCAAAATAATAAATAAATAAATAATCCTAACAAACTAATTTCACCTGCATTGGCGTGCTGCGTCCTCTGCCCAAGACGCTTTGCCGCGCTGGCAGTCCCCCAATGCAAGCCGATGCAGGTCAATGCAGGTCGATGCAAGTTGATGCATCGTTTGCTGCAAGTCTCTGCAGGTGGAATACACCTTTCCTGCACGTCGCCTGCAAGTGTTTTGAACAGCACTGGCAGTCCTCACCTGCACTATGCTGC